AGGATTTTTTACTAACTTGAATTGGGTAGCTATACAAAAATAGAAAGGGGTCTAAGACAAGGATAAGTCGTCTTCCCAGACTTATTCAACCTCTACAACGACGCTATCCTAGGGGAACTGGAAACCCTAACAAGGTTGATTATCGGTGGACCTAATCTTAAGATATGCAGATGATGGCCGATCGGAAAGGAAAGTACCGTAATTTCCCATGTATAATACGCATTTTTTTTCCTAAAAAAATAATAAGGAAAATCGTTTTTTTTTCATTTTCTCTAGCTGTGCATTATGCACAGCTACAAAATTTAAAAAAAAATGTCGTAAAATAAAATAAGAATTATCATAAAACTAAATTAGAATAATATTATTCTATGTTTAAAACTATTTTTAAGTAAGAGTAGGAAACGCTGGCCGTAAGGAAATTCGAGAGGTACAATTTATAGGGTTTGATTACCAAAGAAGAAGCATTATACGTGAGTAGAAGCATTTTCCCACACTTTCAGCACAATTTAAGGTGTGCGTATTATGGATGAAGGCGTATTATACATGAGAAATTACGGTATATGAGCTGGACGCAGTGGTAGAAGCGAAAAAAATGGAATAACTGTCAACTGCACCAAGACAGAAAGCATGGTCATCAGCAAGAGAAAAATCCCAAGATGCAAGGTATAAACTGGAGATGCCAACCCCAAGCAGGTGCAGAAGTTGAAATATCTAGGAAGCATTTTAACTGCGGATCTAAGAGATTGACTTGATGTGCTTTAGTAGCAATAAAACGAGTCGGTTTTCCCGCGGTCTAGGTCATGAACAATGGCGAAGTTCTGACAGTATCTTACTTATTCATCGGATTTGAATGGACTAACTAATTCTTATGGTAAATACTGAAGTTTCTAAAAATATCTGTTGTTTACTTTTGTTTTGGTGGTGTTGGGTTTGTTTCCTTTGTATGATTTTGTTAAGGTTATGGTTAGATGTTATATATTGATAGGTACAGGTGAAGACCATTCACCAGAGTTCTTAAAGTATTAGAAGTATCTACCTTCTTCATCAGTTTTGTTTAAGTGGAATAACCACTTTATGGTAAATATTTTGGTGAATACTGAAGTATGAATATGAATGCTAGCTGAGGGATGCTCAAAGAGAATATCATCAATCTTCTCAACTATTTTGTCGATTATTACAATTCAGTCATCCTGTGAAAAATAGACAATGAAGATGAAGAAGGTACTGTGAACAAAGGACACGTAAAAGCACATGAATAGGAAATTAGGGTTCTTGTTTTGGTATCTCTGACTCATGGGAACACACAAAGTCCATGGAGATTTCAAGGTTGAGAGGGGTATTGTTGTTGTATCAGGTGCACTAGTGGACTTATCCACAATCTGTATCAGTTCATAAACACTGGAAAAGTATTAGCAGTATCTGCCTTCTTCATCGGTTTTTCTTGATGGCCCACATATGACATTAATGGAAACCACACGGGACCATGTATCCACATGGCCCACTGGATAAAGGCGTTGGTTAGATTCAGTGTTAGATCCAGTGACTAGACCCAGAGTTGTGAGTTCAGTAGCAGGCCATAGCAGTGTTGAACCAAAAACTTGGAGACTTGAGTTAAAGAGAAATAAATGAGGCATCCGGAAGAGGCATGACACATGGAACTAGAACAATCTAACCCGGTGGACGAAATAAAGGGTTCAGTTCGAAATTCCAATCACCTGAAGAAGGCCGGAGCGTACAACGTCCGAGACGTCGTTAATATGGCAATGAAGATGAGGATAACAGTGTGAATAATGTAACTAATGCAAGTAACGACTCCTTGTGGTTAAAATTGAAACCGCCACAAATATGAATGCTGGTTGAGGAATGATCAGAGAACATGTCATCAATCACTTGGCTATTTTGACAATTATTAAAATTCCATCGTCTACAGGATAATGCCTGAAACTGAATGATATATGAATGAGGGCGATGCAAAAGAAAATGAATGGGAGATCACTTACACATAACAATCGGTCCTTAATATGCCCGTGACCATAACGATTTTGATTTTTTTCATTAAGGGCCAAGATCCCTGGATTACTAATTGCTATTCTGAGATAACAGACCGATAATAGTTTCTGATAATTGAAAATAGAGTCTAATTTCTCGGATGTTGGTTTGCTTTGGCTTCATTTGTTTTACGGCATATAAACTTCAATGTGTTATTTAATGCCAACAAGATCTTTCTTGGTGCTAATATTTTTTTTCAAAAATGTATTAATGGTAATATTTTTAAAAAAATGTATTTATGGTAGTATTTTTTTTTTCAAAAATGTATTGATGGTAATAATTATTTTCTTCAAAAATTCATTGCTGGTAAAAATATTTTGCAAAAAAAATGTATTGCTGGTATTATTTTTACACTTTCATAGTGTTTTGATTCCAATCTGGGGTTTAACTATTTGCCTATAGCTGCGACCCTAAAAGGCGCTACAACCCCAAGTTGCGGTGGACACCAGCAATTAAGAAGTGGTTCCATGTTCCTCAAAACCTCCTGACCAGAGACCTGGTTGTTGGATAGTTTATCGTCTTACCCAGGACACGGATGTAGTTCATCGTCTTAGCCAGGACACAGATGTAGTTTATCGTCTTACCCAGGACACAGGTGTAGTTTATCATCTTACCCAGAACGCGAATGTAGTTTATCATCTTACCCAGGATAGGGATGTAGTTTATCGTCTTACCCAGGACACAGGTGTAGTTTATCATCTTACCCAGGATGGGGATGTAGTTTATCGTCTTACCCAGGACACGGATGTAGTTTATAGTCTTACCCAGAACGCGGATATAGTTTATCGTCTTACCCAAGATAGGGATGTAGTTTATCGTCTTACTCACGACACGGATGTAGTTTATCGTCTTACACAGGACACGGATGTAGTTTATCGTCTTACCCAGGACACGGATGTAGTTCATCGTCTTACCCAGGACACGGATGTAGTTTATCGTCTTACCCAGGACACAGGTGTAGTTTATCATCTTACCCAGGATGGGGATGTAGTTTATCGTCTTACCCAGGACACGGATGTAGTTTATAGTCTTACCCAGAACGCGGATATAGTTTATCATCTTACCCAGGATAGGGATGTAGTTTATCGTCTTACCCAGGACACGGATGTAGTTTATAGTCTTAGCCAGAACGCGGATATAGTTTATCGTCTTACCCAGGATGCCCGAATCCTGGATCAAAGACTTCTCACATTGGGGTAGGTGAACCTGGGATATATACAAGGTAACCAAAAAAGCCCTTGCCATTTTTTATTTATTATAAAATAAAAACGTATCCAGAAAATTTGACATGCCGTTAATCCTCAAATTAATCTCCATCCAGAACATTTTGTCAGTGTCTCCAGGTGCGCAATAACCTGGCATTAAAAATCAGTTGTCTTCGATGCAAAGAAGTCTGTTAGTGCCTGTCGCAAGTCTGCCTTATTTGCAAAGGATTTCCCACGAAATTTGATGGGGTAGCCTCCTCGTGTGTTAATCTAAGGTTCAGATCCCTGACTATGTCAAGTGGATAACGTCAACCTAGAAAACGTTTACTCCCAACAGCATAAATGAACAGATAAATAATCCAGGAAAGAAGAAAATACAGGAATACTATTTGCAGTACACCTATCTTATACTCAGATAATCATGGCCTCGTAATTTATCCTATACCTATACAAAAATTGAAAAGTGCATGAGACAAGGATGTGTCTTCTTCCCAGACTTATTCAACCTCTACAACGACACTATCGTAAAGAAACTAGAAACTCTACCATGGTTTATTATCGGTGGACAAAGTCTTAAGATACGCAGATGACAGTGCATTGATGGCCGAATCGGAAAGAAAAGTATATGACCTAGACGCAGTCAGGATTATTGTGGCTAAATTACATTTAGCTTGTCTCTTCTCTCGTGATTTTATTCGATCCTTATCCCAGGTTATTTCTCGAAAACAGCTTTAGCTGGCTCACCACAAAGTGCACCGGTAACCCGTATATATAGAACCTATCTCTTTGACTTTGTCACCATCGATTTATTGATACGATACGATTGATTTGAATATTAATTTACGTCCTTCAAGAACACACATCGTCGCATGTGCCTGCAAACACAATGTGTACGGTTTTTGTTGCTAATTTTTTTTTTATAACGAATTTTACTACTTATTGTTTTTATTGCGATTTTATTGCTAATTGTTTTGATAGCGACCTTCCTAATTGTTATTTTTATTGCTAACTGTTCTTTTTATTATCATTTTTATTGCTAAATATCTAGATTAGTGATCGTTTGGAAATACTAGGTGCCGTAAGTTTGGGTGTGCGGATGGTGTAGTGTATAATGACTGGGAACTGGAAATAGGAGTACCGAGTTCCATTTTCAGTTGTGTTCGTTATATTCGCTTACACACAAATACTCTTGGGAAAGGTATGAAACCATCTCTTCTCTCTCTAGCTATGGGTTAATTAGTTACACTTTTAGCAGTAAATGATTATTATCTCTAAAATATTCTCAAAATCTAAAAATATTTTTTGACTTTACATAACCTCCAAAAGGTTGTTAAGCCGTAAAAAACAAATCAAGAAGATAAAGCAAGACTACTCCAATATCTTCCCCGCCTCCAAATTCACTGGATAAGAAATAAGGAAGACTACGGAAATATATGATCTTCTATGTCATGAAGGGCTAAGGTTAGAATTAGAATTTAAAAAAGAAATTCAGAAATGTATTGCCTTGAAAATCAGCATTCGAAATATTGGCCTTTGTATTGAACATGCAAATCTGGCTGAAATTACATCAACCACCAACAATCACTTGTCCCTGGTCTAAAAGGATTAACAATGAGTTTCGTGAAGAGCGAACATATATATATATATATATATATATATATATATGATGTCCTGCAAGGGAGACGTGAAAATACTTGTGCTACGGCAAGCATTTGCTTTAGTTTTCTCCTATTTCTGTTGTTCTCCATGTGTTGTTCTCTCTCTCTCTCTCTCACTCTCACTCTCTCCATTTATTTTATCACCCTCTCTACATTTCTGTTGTTCTCATATGTTGTTGCTCTCTCTCCATTTCTGTTGCTCTCCATCTGTTTTTACTCTCTTTCTCTTCATTTCTGTTGCTCTCCACTTCGATTGTTGTTCCCTCTCTCTATTTCTGATCTCTTTCTCTCCATTTCTGTTGTTTGCCATTTCCGTTGTTACTCTCTCTCTCTCTCTCTCTCTCCATTTCTGTTGCTCTCCATATGTTTTTACTCTTTCGCACCATTTCCTTTGCTCTCTATCTGTTTTTACTCTCTTTCTCTCCATTTCTGTTGCTCTTCATTTCTGTTATTGCTCTCTCTCTCTCTCTCTCTCTCTTTTATATATATATATATATATATATATATATATATATATATATATATATATATTTCCGTTGATCTCCACCTATTTTACCGTTTTCCTCTTCATTTCTGTTGCTCTCCACTTCGATTGCTGTTCCCTCTCTCTATTTCTGATCTCTTTCTCTCCATTTCTGTTGTTTGCCATTTCCGTTGTTACCCTCTCTCTCTCTCTCTCCCCATTTCTGTTGCTCTCCATCTGTTTTTACTCTTTCGCACCATTTCCTTTGCTCTCAATCTGTTTTTACTCTCTTTTTCTCCATTTCTGTTGCTCTTCATTTCTGTTCTTGCTCTCTCTCTCTCTCTATTTCCGTTGATCTCCACCTATTTTTACCGTTTCCCTCTCCATTTCTTTTGCTCTCTATCTGTTTTTGCCTCTTTCTCTCTATTTTTGTTGCTTTGCATTTCTATTGTTGCTCTCTCTCTCTCTCTGTTTTTACTCGCTTTCTTTCCATTTCCATTGCTCTCCATTTCTATTGTTTCTCTCTCTCCATTTCCGTTGCTCTCTATCTGTTTTTACTCTCTTGCTTTCTACTTCCGTTGATCTCCATCTCTTTTGCTCTCACTCAATTTCCGTTGCTCTCCATCTGTTGTTGCTCTCTCTCTCTCTCTCCATTTCTGTTGCTCTCCATCTGTTTTTTTTACTATCTTTCTCTCTATTTCTGTTGTTCCCCATTTCTGATGTTGTTCTCTCTCCATTTCTGTTGTTGAGCTCTCTCCATTTCCGTTATTTTTCATCTGTTGTTAGTCTTTCTCCATTTCCGTTATTCTCCATCTATTTTTACTCTATTTCTTTTCATTTCTGTTGCTCTCCATTTCTGTTGTTGCTCTCTCTCTCCATTTCCGTTGCTCTCCGTCTCTTTTGCTTTCTCTCCATTTCCGTTGCTCCCCATCTGTTTTTGCTCTCTTTCTCCCCATTTTTGTTACTCTTCATTTCTGTTGTTGCTCTCTCTCTCTCTCTCTCTCTCTCTCTCTCCATTTCTGTTGCTCTCCTTCTGTTTTTTTACTCTCTTTCTCTCTATTTCTGTTGTTCTCCATTTCTGATGTTGTTCTCTCTCCATTTCTGTTGTTGAGCTCTCTCCATTTCCGTTATTTTTTATTATATCCATCTGTTTTTACTCTCTTTCTTTTCATTTCCGTTGCTCTCCATTTCTGTTGTTGCTCTCCCTCTCCATTTCCGATGCACTCCATCTGTTTTTACTCTCTTTCTTTCCATTTCTGTTGTTGCTCTCTCTCTCTCTCTCTCTCTCTCTCTCTCTCTCTCTCTCTCCATTTCCGTTCTATCTGTTTTTATTCTCTTTCTATCCATTTCTGTTTCTCTTCATTTCTGTTGTGGTTCTCACTCCATTTCCGTTATTCTCCATCTGTTTTTGCTCTCTTTCTTTCCATTTCCGTTGCTCTCCATTTCTGTTGTTGTTTTCTCTCCATTTCTGTTGCTGCCCTCTCTCTATTTCTGTTGCTGTCCATCTGTTTAACTCTCTTTCTCTCTATTTCTGTTGCTCCCCATTTCTGTTGTTGCTCTCTCTCCATTTCTCTTGCTCTCCATCTTTTTTACTCGCTTTCTCTCCATTTCCTTTGCTCTCCATCTATTTTTTACTCTCTTTCTCTCCATTTCTGTTGCTCTCCATTTCTATTGTTGTTCTCTCTCCATTTCCGTTGCTCTCTACCTGTTTTTACTCTCTTGCTTTCTATTTCCGTTGCTCTCCATCTCTTTTGTTCTCACTCAATTTCCGTTGCTCTCCATCTGTTTTGCTCTCTTTCTCTCAATTTCCGTTGCTCTCCATCTGTTTTGCCCTCTCTCTCCATTTACTTTGCTCTCCATTTCTCTTGTTGTTCTCTCTCTCTATTTCCGTTATCTGTTGTTGCTCTCTATCTCTCATACCGCATCGTATCGATCTTGTATAACAGCCATTACTTATGCTTCTTCTTTTTATTATGAATCGATTTCTTCTTTCTCAGTTTATGCGACTGATCGAACATTTACCCTTCTAGGTAAACTTGATAGTGTTCGAATTAATCGAGTGGAGGAGTAAGATAGGTTAATTAGTAGGACCGTTATCTTTGAATCTTTATTACCGCCAAAAAATCTTACAATCTGAAAATATTTTCTAGCTTTATGCAACCTGCAAAAGATTGATAGACTGTAAAAATAAAATCAATCGATATATAACTCAAAGCATTAGAATAAATATTCTATTCAATAAGTCCTTTAAGAAGAAACGATGTAATTCTATTTGTGATATATATAGGATAGTAATTTAATTATAAAAATGGTCAACCCAAAAATGGTTGTGGGTAAAAAAAATGACACATGCTAGAAAAGCTAACTGACAATACTAACAATAGACAAAGTAGCCATTTTACTGTCACTGCCTTATCAGTTATGGTAATATTTAGCAAATGTGAATGGCCATGTTCATCAACTTCTTTCTGTTTGTTATCGTAGCCAATCAGTGACAAAACTATGGTGTAGATAAGTGACAATGAAAGATCTTAAAGAGAATAGAATTCATGCCTTCCACAAGCGATATAAGCAGTCTCAAGTGAGATGGATTTGCCATTTCATTTTTCTGGGACAATATCAATTTTGATATTTTAAAATTATGTTTGTATAATACAAAACATTAGAATAAACATTCTATTAAAAATGCCCTAATTCTGGTCTGCAGAACTAATCATATAATATGAGAGATATTGATTTCTAATTTTAAGTAAAAAATGGCCAACCCCTGAACTGATGTTGCTTAAGAAGATGGCTTATGCTAGAAAAGGTAATTTGGAGAAAAACTAATTTTCAGGAAGTTTCTGTTATCTGAAGAAATTAGAATTCTGCTTCTTAAGAAGAATTAAAAAAATCTAATTAAGTAAATTAATCTGAGACAGGATTGATTTAGAATTGGCAAGATATTTCATATTTGTCTTTAACAACCAGTAAAGAAAAAAAAAGAAGGTATTTTATTGCAGGCTGATTAATCTTCATGTCTTCTGTAGGCAGATATTCACCAACAATCAGAGTGATGATCTATCAAGGCAAGAAAAATAAATTCTACAAATCCTACTTTGGTCGAAGTCTGTATGGGAATTTTTTAAGCGTAGCTTAGATATGGCACAGGGCCGAAAGTATGGCGCAAAAATGATTCTCTAAGCTTAGCTTAGATGTGGCACAAAGCCGTAAGTGTGGGGCATCGAGTAAGGATCGAACCCACTACTCAGTCGTAATTGATCTGACATGCTTGCTAATCATTAGACAACGTCGAAGTGACCTAAATGATTTTCAAAGCGTAGCTTAGATGTGACACAAGGCCGAAAATATGGAGCACCCAGTGCAGATAGGAACTCATTATTCAGTCATAATTGATCTAGCATGAGAAGCCTGATGAGCATTACATCACTTCGAAGTGACTTAAATGATTTCAAAGCGTAGCTTAGTTGTGGAACAAGGCCGAACGTGTGGGGCACCCAGTAAGGATCGAATTCGTTACTCACTCGTAATTGAGACAAGCTTGCTCACCACTGCGCCACGTCTAAGGCAAGCAAAACATGAACATCAAATCAAAATTTAACAACTGGAATTCTTGGGTTTTTCATTTGGTATTAATAAATATATGAATATAATTTTTTATTTTTTTTAATCGGTATCACGCCAAGGATGTCAGTACAAGGGGTTACAGGGTGTGGGGGGATTAGGAACAGAAATTTTAGTAATGAGGAGAAAAAAACTTATCATGAGGATAGTAGATAGCAATTGACCTTGCATTTAAACTTTTGCATATTAAAGTTGGTTGGAAAGCAAGAAGCCGGGAGGGAGTTCTACAAGCGAGATGTGCAAGAAAAGAAACTTTGCATCGAAGACAACTCATAGAATTTACGGCTACATCTAGAGCGGCTCAACTGTAAATTGATGAAAGTCACAGAGAGGCAACCTTATTACGGTGGGAAAGTGACAGAAGCCGAGTCGCCAGATCAAGACCAATAATATTGCAGATTCTTCTTTGGATCTTTTGAAGGAGCTCCAGATAAGTCGTAGGGGCGCCGGATCATATATGGCAGCAATATTCTAGGCATGGACGATTGGTAGACTTATAGATATGCAAGATAGAGTCAGGAGGGAAAAATTATCTCGCCCAGCAGAGTGAACCGTCTTTTTTAACAACTGATCTAGCGATGGATTCAATGTAGTTTTTCCACTTCATGTCAGCTGAGAACGTTAGCCCGAGAAGGTGCAATGAGTCATTTTATGGAAGGATATCATCAGCGATGTTGATGGAAGGCAGAGAAGGGTCTCTCAGATGATGAAAGTTTTAGTTTTGGAGGCATTTGCCTCAGTTAACGGCGTCTTGGGATCGTTTTGCACATCAGCTGCCATTTAGACCTTGTCGGACTGATCAGCCTTAGTATCGAGGTAGGAGTAAATCATAGTGTCATCAACGTAGATGCCAAGCTGAGAGCTGATGTCAAATGGAAGGTCGTTAATGAAGATAGCGTAGGAGCAAGAATGGAACGCGTTAGTACGAAAAGATGCAGATGAGTGGCCGTTCAGTACAGCTTTCACTTTACGATTAGATAGGAAAGACTGGATCAGCTCAAAAACGTGCCCGGAGATACCATAGCTTTTCAGCTTGTGGAGAAGACCTGACTACCAGACCCTGTCAAAGGCTTTCGAGATATCTTCTGCCATAGCACCTGGATTCACCATTTTTATCTAGAACATGATAGACTCTTTCCGCAATTATTGTTTGTATATCAGCAGTTGATCTGGAGAAACGAAAGCCGTATTTGTCTGAGAAAAGGCCCTGTGATGAGAGATGATGAACCAATTCAGCATTGATTAGGGACTCTAGGAGTTTCCGAAAACGAGTCAGAAGGCTAATAGGCCGATAGTTGGATGTGTTAGATGGTTCATCAGAGTCCTTAATGTTAGAATTTTTGGGTACGCCAGTACTAGTGAGCTGACTCATTTTATAGTTCACCAATAGAAGGGTTAACCAATCAGAAAGCTCAAAATATTCAATGCGACGTATATAAAGGCAGCCATTTTTTTTCCCGAATATTCACTGCCAACCTCTGATATCGAAGACTGAAGAATTACGGGACAGCTGCTGGTAGTATTGGCGATATAGTCAGATCCAGTAGTGTCGTTGCCGTTTCTGCCGAACGATCAGTGTGTCGACTTTTTCCGTCAGATGGGGCCGTTCCTGGTTGATTCGTCGCGCTTAGTCTTAATGGTGGGGGCTGGAATGCCGTCTGGGACCCAAAGATAGATAAGGGGGTGGGAAGCTAGCGGGAAGACATTGGGGGATCGTAGCTTGGTTCATCTGATCGACGAGTTTGGGATACTCGATAGATACCATGTCGATCACCCGGGGCGGGAGATGTGGACATGGGCCCTTAAGTAGCCGTCTTTCCAGATAATCTGGACAGAATGTTAGTGAGAAGGGTCGACCTAGATTTACTAGATTGTCCCACATCCCACCGTTTAGACTATTCGGATCATAGACTTGTCTGTGCCCGGATGGTGTTAGATGCTAGGCCTTATATGGCTGG